ATGAGATGATGAGCACAGGCCTTGGGGAGCAAAGGCGTAACGCCCTGCGGTGGCACCCTTCCTGCCCGCATGCCCCTTCCCGTGTGGCCTGGCTCTGTCCCCCTGAGAGCTGGCATCCCTAGTCGGGGGCCGCCCTGCCCAGGGGGTCCACGTCCTCACCAGGGCAGCAGTGGGGAGGAGGTGGCCATGCAGACATGCAGCTCCTCCTCTGGGAGGCACCGAGTGACCATGTCCCCGTGACAACAGTGGCATGGGCACGCGTGCTGGGCGCAGCCGCTCCGGCTACCGGCGCGGGCCAGGGTTTGGCAAAGCATGGAAGCCGTCCTTGGTCTAATTCTTGCTTTGGGCATCCGGCACCTGCCTGCATCTTGGGTTCAGGTCAAGGCGTCGAGGCTGTCGCTGTGTGGGCCTGAGTCCCACCCTGGAGCGAGCGGTCCTCAGGAGGAGGTCTGGGGGCCTTCCCTCACCCCGGGCCGTGGGGCAGGACTCCAGCTTCTCGAAATCCGGAGTGGGCTCGGCTGACATCTGAGCCCCCGAGGAGATGCCCGGCCCTCTGTGGGAAACATGGGGGTGCCCAGGGCTTCCTCGGGCACGATGCACGGGGGCCTGCCTGCCCCCCAGGATTCAGGTCACCCTCCCACCTCCACCCCGAGGGGCAGGGTCTTTTGGGGAAAAGGCATTGTTCTTCACAGGTATTTCTTCATAAAGGAGATGCCAGACAGTGTGGACGCTCCGCAGGCTTCCCCTTCCTTCTGCTCCCTTCCTCCCTGCCAGCCTCCTCTCCTCCCCCTCCCCCATGGGCCCCGTTGTCCCTGTTCCCTTGTGACAGGGCCCAGACCAGGGTCAGATTGAAAGGTCACTGCTCTCGCTTCCCTGGCCGGGCTGCCTCCCCCTGGGTAAGGGGCTCTCTGGCTTCTTCAACTCAGTGGAAAGAAACGCCGAGGCCACTGTCACCTTAAGGGCGGTGGCAGCATGAAAGGGACAGCAGCTGACCCCAGATGAAGGGCTCCCATAGAGCTGCAGGAAGGAGGTGGCACCTTCTGGGGAGGGCTGGGACCCCGTCTGCCTCCGCCGCACCAGCGCCCGCAGGCAGGGCGCCAAGCCCTCCGGGAAGGCCGCGCGGGCACCAGGCACAGAGGCCACCACGCGGTCAGCTGGACACCGCAGGAGGGAACGGACTCAGTTTTCCTCGGTCTCCTATTATCTGCCTTGGGAGACAATCTGCCCATCCCAACAGGTGACCAGTGCGACAGAACGGAGCTCTGAGCCTGCTCGCCGCTGCTCTCCCTCCTCATTCTCTCTGCAGGAGATGGAGGGCAGATGGAGACAGGACAGAGGTGGGGGGCGGGGAGGGAGGGAGGGGCCGAGAGGACGCGGGATGGAGGGACAGAGGGAGACACCAGGCCGACTGCAGCAGCATCGCAGGCGGGCGGCCGTCGGAGAGTAGGTGGCATAAATCGCAGGCACGGTCTCAGGAGACAACCACTTTAAATCTTAATTGGTTGCCTTTTAAATATCATTTAAGGGCCGGCTTCCCTGCCTCTCTCTCTAGTTAAGAAGGTGCCGTGTCAAACTCTATTATTACCTTGCTGGACGTCTCTCTTTCAAGTTAAAAAAAAAAAAAAAAGGAAAAGAAGAAAAAAGAAAAAAAATGGAACCATCAGCAGCAGTTGGAGGGTCGATAAAGCTTTTAGATTTGGAGACGGTTTCCGGGAGCCCATTTCCCGCGGCTAAGAGTTGTTAATGGAGCTTAAGGAATTATCTCAGCCGCGCCCGCGCCGCCGTATATTTCCCGCGCCTGGTCCCCTGTCGGCTCCGGATCTGCTGCTGTCAGACTCGCTTAATGAAAAGTAACGCGCCGCTGATTACAGTTTTATTTGGGCTCTATGTAAAGAGCGCCGTTAATTTAGCACCCTCCTTGGTGTGTTTGAATTCGCCACGCCTGAGTGGCTGAGCGCGTCGGTCCCCAGCTCCTTTCTTCCCTGACAGCCTCGCGGCGAGCGAGGTGGGGCCGCGCCCAGGAACCGCGCGCCACCCCCACAACGCTTAGGCTGCCCCCGTCGCCTCCTCCCCGCCCCCGGGCCACCCTCGCCTGACCCCCACCCCCGCCCCGGGAAGTTAGGTCAGAGGGCGGGGCAGGTGCATAAAGCGAACCTTCCAGAGTGTGCCCCCAAAGGTCAGGGGTGTGGGGCGATGTGACAGCCCCAGCTTCGGGCGTCCTTTGGAGTCCCCGTGGGATGAAGCTGAATCCCCCCTTCCCCACCTGATGTCTTTCACAATTCTGCAGTTTAATCAAATAGGCCGCTTTTAGTCGGCCAGTTCCGCCGAGAAGTGGGGGCCCCGGCCGTGTGGGTCGCTCTGGCCTGGGCCTCAGGGACAGCTCGCACCACGCACGGTGCTTCAGCGCGGGGCGCCCGGGGCAG